GGGGGCCTACAAAGGCAAGAAGTGACTGGCTTACAAGCTTTTAAGAGGGAGCCTAGATCCAGAGGGTGCGGAGGAAGGTAGAATCTCTACTGAGTAGTATCCAATTTGTCTGAGCAGGGCTGATAAAAGGAGATAGGGATAGCACTCATGTGATACAATAGCGAATAATTGTTATCAGGACTGACTGTGAGGGTTGGAAATGGAAAGGCAGATGTTTTGTAGCAAAAGGAGGGGAGTGGTTGACTTTGCAGTCTAGGAGCAGAGGTCCCTGGGACCATCAAGGGAGAAGAGCAGAGAGCAGGACCCTACCCAGAGAAACAGTGGCACCAGAAATGAAGGCAGAACCGATGACATGGAGAGATGGAGCGGCTGGGGACTCTAGACCCAGAGAGGGAGAGGGGCTGTGTGCTGATGACCGGGGTGCAGGCAGGTAGTGTATACCCTTTGATTGGTTGATGATTCATGGAGGGGATTGTAACCATGGCAATGAAACGATATACTATCGGATGAATGTACAGCTAATGTTCTCCCATGTAAACTATCACATAGTTCACAATAAAACATTAAAAAAAAAAAGTTTTTGGTGATTCAGATGTGAAAATTGGAAACAAAGAGGAAAGATTGATAGTTGGAAATTATGGCCTTGATGACAGAAACCTATGCTGGAGAGTGCATGAAAGAATTTTGCAAAACCAATGACTTATTCATTACAAAATATCTTTTTCAACAACATAAACAAAGACTATACACATGAACTTCACCAGACAGAACATATAGGAATCAAATTGATTAAACTGATGGGCAGGAATGATGGAGAAGCTCAATATCATCAGCCAAAACACAAGGCAAAGGGCCAACTATGGGACAGTTCTTCAGTTGCTCATGTGCATGTTTAGACAGAAGCTGAAGAAAATTCAAGAAGTCCATGAGAGCTCAAAAAACAAGCTTGAGTTATCTTGCCTGAATTTAGAGGCCGCTTCTCAAAAACAGATTTAATGCATTAGACACTAATGAACCAAGAAGAGTTGTGGGATGGCATCAAGCACATTATACATGAAGAAAACAAAAGTTCCTTAAGAAGATAGGAAAGAAAGAAAAGACCAAATGGATATCAAAAGAGACTCTGGACAGTCTGCCCCTAACCTTGTTTTAACTGATGATATGGAGCTTTTCCATCGTCTCTTTCCTCAGATGTAGTCAATTTGATTTCTGTGTATTCCATCTGGTGAGGTCCATGTGTATTGTCGTCTCTTATGCTGACTAAAGAAGGTATTTGAATCAGGGCTGATTGTGAGGGTTGGAAATGAAAAGGTAGACATTTTGTAGCAAGGAGAGGAGTGATTAACTTTGCAGTCTAGGAGTGGAGGTCCCTGGGACCATCAACGAAGAAGAGAGGAGAGCAGGACCATACCCAGAGAAGCAGTGAGGCCAGAGATGGAGGCAGGGACAATGACATGGAGAGATAGAGCAGTTGGGGACTTTAGACACAGAGGGAGAGGGGCTGTGTGCTGACAACCGGGGAACAGGCTTGCAGGGTATACCCTTTGGTTGGTTGATGATGCATGGATGGGATTGTAACCATGGCAATGAAACAATATACAATAGGATGAATGTAAAACTAATGTTCTCCAATGTAATAATTCACAATAATTCAAATAATTCACAATAAAACATTAAAAAAGAGAGAGAGAGAGACTCTGGAACTTATTCTTGAGCAGAGAAGCTAAAGCAGCTGGAAGAAATTATGAACTAAATTTCAAATGGCAGCTCGAGAAGAGAAAATCAAGTATTATAATGGGCAAAGACCTAGAGTTAGTAAAACAAAAGGGAGGGACATGTTCAGCATTTCTCAAGCTGAAAGAACAGAAGAAAAAAATGCAAGCCTCGGATTGCAATATTAAAGGGCAAAATACTGAATGACACAGGAAACATCAAAAGAAAACACAGAGTCCCTGTATGAATAAGAATTAGTTGATGTTCATTTGCAAAGAAAGGCACAATATGATCAAGAACCAGTAGTACTGAAGAAAGAAGTCCAAGTTGCACCGAAGGCATTGGTGAGAAACAAGTCTCCAGGAATCAATGGAACACAAACTGAACTGTTTCAATTAACCAATGCAGTACTGAAGTCACTCACTCAGCTGCACCAAGAAATTTGGAGTTCAGCTAACTACCTGGCCAAGCAATTTGAAGAGGCCCGTATTTGTGTCCATTCCAAAGGAAGGTAAGCCAACAGAATGCTGAAATCATTGAGCAAGATCATTAACATCACATGCAAGTAAAATTTAGCTGAAGATAATCCAAGAATGGTTGCAGCAGTATATCAACAGGGAGCTGCCAGAAATTCAAGCTGTTTTCAGAAGAGGATGTCGAACAAGGATATCACGTCAGATGGCTAAAGGCAGTAAATGCCGCAAAGTTGTTTATTTGTGCTATATCGATTATGCAAATGCATTCGACTATGTAGATCATAACAAATTATGGATAACATTGCAAAGAATGGGAATTCCAGAATACTTAATTGTGCTCAAGAGGAACCTCTACACAGACCAAGAAAGAGGCAGTTGTTTGAGAATAAGGGGATAGTGAATGTTTTAAAATCAGGAACAGTATGCATCAAGTGCTCAATAAATCATTTTCATTAAGTGAAAGTGACTGAGGAAGAATTTGTTGAGAAGTGAGGGCCAATTCACATAACGCTAAAGGGTACTTGAGTCCTGGTGCAGCACTGTAGGGTAAGCACTGGACTGCTAACCACAAGGTCTGTGGTTCAAACCTACCAGCTGCTCCTCAGAAACCCTATACAGGTCTCTATGAGTTGGAATTGATTCAATGGAACTTAAAAGCAACAACAGGCATATGAGTCTTACAACATAAGTTAAAAATCTAAGAAGAATAAACCCAAAACCAAAGCCACTGCCACTAAGTCAATGCCAACTCCCAGCAACCCTGTAGGATAGAGTCGAATAGCTCCAGAGGGTTTCCAAAGCTGTAAATCTTTATGGGAGCAGATTGCTTCATCTTGCTCCTGGTTAGCAGTCCAGTGCTTATTAGCACCACCAAGACTCCTTACTAACAAGAACAGCAGACATTTATTAAGCACTTATTGTATGCCGACTACTCCTCTTGGTTCTTTACAGATATTCATTGGATTCATTTAGACAACCTAGGGGCAGGCTATATCATCACTCCATTTTAGAAGCCCAGCTCCCCACTTCCTGGCTATGTGACCTGGGGCAAATCATTTCTCTCTGGGCTTCTAAAAGGGGTAGGGGGGTGATGATATATATCTGGGAAACCTTGTGCTCTACTGGGAGAGATGTTCCATGAGCAGCCAATGAGAATGCAGAGCGATGGGGCTTTGATGGGGGAAACACAAGCAGAAGGTGTTCCCAGGGAGGTCGGAGATGGCTTCCTTGAAGAGCAAGCTCCTGAAGGAAGTGGGCAGGAGAGAGATAGACCAACAGATCAACCAGGCAGTTGGAGGTCAGCACGTACCTCCACCGTCTTGTAGAGGAAGGAGTACACCAGGGAGGCGTTGGAGTTCTTCAGCGTGGTGGCTACCACTGTAGGCAGCAAGGTTAAGGAAAAGGTGCCATTTGGGGAGGTCCAAAGGGAGCACCGAGCCTTGAACCCCTCCTCATCCTCTGCCAGCACCCTCATCTTTGCCCATGCTCACCCCCAGCCTGAGACAGATGTACTTCCCCACCACCTCAGCCTCCAGGGATGCGCCCACGGGTACAGTACAGGTTGCTGTGCTTGATCCATAGGAAGTGGACTCGGCCGTGGTTCAGCAGTGGGGACAGGGCCCCCTCCTCCTCCCGCTGCATGAGTAATGGCATGAAGTACTCGATTTCACTCATGGCCACATCGCCTTTGTAGTTGCGGCTGATCAGGGGCTGGGGACAGAGGAAGCTGGTTAGCGTCACTGCCAGGATCCTGACCCCCTCCACCAAGGGGCTGATCAATGGCTGGGCAGGGGATGGGGGTGGCAGAGGAGGCCTGATTAGGGACACCACCAGAATCCAGAGCCCTTCTGCCCTGGGACATCAGACAGCCAGGTTTTCACACCTCTTCCTGATTGAGGAGTATGGGCCAAGCTTTTGTCTCTGTGCCTCAGTTTTCTACTCTGTAAAATAGACTCGTGGTGTCAAAAGCTACCATGTATAATCATGTACAACAGCCAATGTGTATAGTGCTATGGAGCCTTCACTGGGCCCCAGAGGGACTTCTGAAGAACTTGTCTGCTACCTGGGATGGAGATGGTACCACCATCTTCATTTCACAGATGCCTCAGCAAGAGCTATGGATCCAAGTCAATAGTAAGTGAGGAAACTTGGAAAAAAACCCAGGCACCTGGCTCCAAAATTCCTGCCCTACCCAGGGCTTCACATGCACCAAAGTGGGGAGTAACCAAAAAGCAAACCAAACTCACTGCCACTGAGCCAATTCTGACTCACAGCAACCCAGGAGGACAGAGTGGAACCTGCTCCCCAAGTGTTTCCAAGGCTGCAAACTTTCAGGAAGCTGACTGCCACATCTTTCTCTCCCACTCAGTGGCTGATGGTTTCGGATGGCCAAACTTTGGCCAAACTTTCCGTTTGCCGCACAGCACTTTAACCACTGCATCACTAGGACTTCTTTAACTAATGAGTTAAAAAAAACTGCCATCAAGTTGATTCCAACCCTGTAGGGCTTCCAAGACTGTAAATCTTTCCACTAGCTGACAGTCTTATCTTTCTCTCTCAGAGTAGCTGGTGGATTTGAACTGCTGAATTAGCAATTAGCAGTCCAGTGCTTAACCTACAGGTTTAACTCGAGGGATTCTTTTTTTAAAGGGAAAAGAAGGAGGGAGAAGGGGAGGAAAGATTCTACCCCTGTAGATTTCAAAACTCATCGCTTTACCCTACCATCAGTAACCCGCAATAATAATGTAGTTGTTAAGTGCCATCAAGTCAATTCCATCTCATAGCAATTCTGTATAGGGTTTCCAAAAAGCAGTTGGTGGGTTTGAACCGCAATCTTGAGGCTGGCAGTCATGTGCTCATCCTACAGTGCCATGCCAGGACTCCACAGTAACAATAGTGCTTAAAATATTTGGACTCCTGGTATGGCACTGTAAGATAAGCACTGGACTGTGAACCACAAAGTTGGTGGTTCAAATCCACCAGCTGCTCCTCAAAAACCCAATGCAGTGTTGCTATGAGGAATAGACTTTACGGCACTTAACAACTACAATATTATTCAAATATATCTTATAATATCTTCAATAATAATAGTACTTAGGCTGTTGAGTCCAGTGGTCAGAGCAAGGAGGGTCCACAGCAGGCCTCCAGATATCTCTTGTTGTGTAAGTGACCTCAAGTGGGTTCCAACCCATATTGACCCTGTATAGGATCTGCGAGGAGTGGCTGGTGGATTTGAACAACTGTCTTTGCAGTTCAAACACTGCAGGCCAGTGTTTATCTTACAGCATTACAACAAGACTCCCAGACATCTTAACTCTCGCTGTTAACATTGTCAGTGTCACTTTGCAATGACAAGATGAATGAGGGCAACTTCAGGAAGGGAAAAGAAGCCCCAAGGGGCAACTAGAACCTCCTGTCCCTACTGCAAGAGCCCTGGTGGTGCAGTGGTTAAGCGTTCAGCTGCTAACCGAAACGTCAACGATTCGAATCCAGAAGCCACTATCTGGAAGAACGATGTGGCAGTAGATTTCCACAGAAATTTACAGACCTTGCAAATCCTAAAGGGCAGTTCGATTCTGTCGGAATCGACTCGACAACAGTGGGTTTGGTTGGGTCCCTGGTGTCTTCCCCAGATATTAGTAATATGGAAAATGATGGTGATGGAAATATCAATTTTAATCTTTTGAACGTCTAGTTTGCAGCGGGGCTACTGTGCTCAGCGCTTTACACGCATCTAGTTGAATGAATTCTGATTGGATGGGAGCTGTTATCACCATTTTTTTACGGAAGGAGAAAATGAAGGCTCTCAAAGCCAAAGCCTGTGGTCCCAGTCACAAGGCCAGTAAATAGAGGTGGGTTTCTACCCGGACGCTAGGGGATTCTAGCAGGCGGAGGAGATGGGACAGATGGGACGTAGTTTTTTCCATGCCCCCAGATCCTTCCGGAGTTTTTGCGGTGTGCGCCGAGGGGCCGCCCCTGGGGCGGGGGGAACGCGGCCTCACCTGTCTGTCCCCCTACACCTGCGCTTCGTCTCACCTTGCCCTTGACGTCCAGGATGAAGACGGCCGAGGCGGACATGGTGGCGGCCGGGAAACCTGGGAAGCGGAGAGGGTGCGCCAGGAGGCAAAGGTGGCGCCGCTTCCTTCTTCCTGCGGAAGCTCCCTCGCTCAGGTAAGCGCCCAGGTGAGCGCTCTTAAAGGGGAGGCCGCCAGGTGAGCGGCACGGTCGGCACACCGGAAAGCGGCGGCGGGGGCTGGAAGAGGGCGGTGCTTCGATGGAGACCCAACCCTGCCTCGTTTTCCCTTGTTGTTGTTGTTGTTGTTGTTGTTAAGTGCCATCGAGCCGGTTCCTACCTACAGCGAACCTGTGTAGGGTTTCCGAAGAGCAGCTGGTGAGCTTAAACTGCCGACCTTGCAGTCTGGCGCATTAACCCACAGCGCTACACCAGCAACCCTGTAAGGGTTTCAAAGGCTTTAAATGTTCTGCAGCGGAGTGACTGATGGGCTCGAATTGGGTACCTTGTGATGAACATTCCAGTGCTTATCCTATGGAACCCCTATGCTCCTCCTACTCTGACAATAGGGGAGCTCCATAGCTCTGTAGGATGTGTGAGGAATAACTCTTGTGGGCGTGGTCCGTCTTCAGGAATTCAGGAGATTGTTAGAACCAGCCGATTGTTGATTTACCTCCAGGAATATGTTAGGCTGTTCTAGGACTAGGAAATTCAAATAGGAATACGACTCTATGGCACCTAACAACAACAACGGTTATTAAGACCATGGGCAAGCCATTTTGGCTTCTCTGGGAGAAGGGAAATGGGACATGCCATAGAATTGTATATGGAGAACTGAACTGGAGGAGGGGCGTTTTGGAGATGAGAATTAAAAACGTTTGTGGCTGGCCATGTAGCATGTTTGTCGGTGTCGGCTGGTTTGAGTGCTCAATTTTGCAAAATCGAATAAAGAAAACCTCACTCTTGCTAAAATGAGTACAGATTGGATTACTTGAGCGTTTGTCGGTATGGACATTTCTCACAGATGAGCGCGGGAGTAGGGACCACAGGGTTGGTGGCTCAAGACCACCAGTCGTTCCAGGGGAAAAAGATGAGACCTTCTGCTCCTGCAAAGATTTACAGCCTCAGAAACTCTATACAGGATTGCTATAAGTCAAAACCGACTCAAAATGAACTTATTAAGCACAACAGAAGGAAACACTGCCCTATCCTGTGCTATTACCACAAGTAACTGTAAACTTGAGCCCATTGCTGCTGCCACTGTGCCAATCCATCTTGTTGGAGGGTCTTCCTCTTTTTTGCTGACCCTCCACTTTATTAAGCATGATGTTCTTCTCCAGGGACTGGTCCCTCCTGATAATATGTCCAAAGTGTGAGAGATGAAGTGCTGAGGCAGACAGGCCTTCGGAAATAGGAGCTGGCCCCCGCGTCCCCCAGGCTCATAGCTCATTCCTGGAATAAGGCTCACATTCCAGGAAATAAGCGACAGACTACCTCCGCCTCATGTGATTCCCCAGGCTAATCTGTTCCTGACCCACTGCCTGGAGGGAACAGAGCCCCAAGCTAATGTCCACCAGCTTCCGCTTCTGTAACTGCTCATACATCTTTTACCGCCGTTATGTTTGAACCAACCAATCCCAGGTAGCCCCATGAAGCTGTTGGCCCCCCTCTAACCAATCCCAAATGATCTCATATACGCACCCCTATTCCCTATAAAATATCCTCACATAGGGAAGACGGGGCTCAGCCTGTGGATACGAATTCACTGAGCCACGTGCTACCACAATAAAACCCTTCCTTTGTTACAACCCACGTGGTATTGGCAACTCCTTCAGAGCGACTCTGGTAACCTTTCTGGTGCATTGGTCGGGAAACTTCTCTTCTATGTGCTGGAAGGACTGGCCACGTTGCTGTTGCTACCCTGGGAGCAGCAGATGCTGAGGTGGACCCTCGTTCCCCGGGTGACTCTCTACTGAGTGCATGCCAGCAAGATTTCTCGCTGTGTGGACCCTCTCCTCTGGGACAGAGACCCGTTGCGGATCCTCATCCCTAAGGATGTGGGCCCACAACTAGTCAGACCTGATCAACGACCAGAAGGGAGACCTGATCAATCTCCCACCCTGTCCAAATACCTACAACTAAGGAAAACACGGTGGTCGTCAGTCAGTTTGAAAAGGGAGGTCTTGTGTGCAAGAGTGTGTGGTGCGAGTAAGTGTGTCTGGCACCAGGCCAGTGGTGAACCTCATACGGCTTAGAGAAACAGTCCTCACTAATAGCACAGAGTGGACTCCTGGTTCGAAACTCTCCAAAGCTAAGACGCGCTTGAAAATCCTCCTTGCAAGAGGAACAGTGAGGTCTGGGTGTGATCTGTCTGTTGTGAACTCACCACCATGGGAGGCATACAGGGGAAGGAAACGCCTCTCAAAGTTATGCTCAGAAACTTCAAAAAAGAATATACTCAGAATTATGGAGTCAGACTCCATCCAGGGAAGTTGAGGGCTTTCTGTGAGGTAGACTGGCCTGCTTTTGGGGTCTGATTGAAACCTGGAAGCTGCCCATCCCACAGAAACCAATATCCTCTCAGGAAAGAGGCCAAGAAATTCACTCTGGCCAGCTCATCCCGTCCCCTTCAAGCGGTCTCCCTGCTGCAAAAAAAAGAGAAGCCTATGACTCACAACAGGGCAAATAGGCAATACCGGGTTATTTTACTGGATAATCCAAATATCACCCTGTGAATTATGGGGCGACTAAACCTGCCATCCTCCTCCCAGATGTGGCAACTGGAGAGCTGAACCATGATTGTATAGAAATCATTGACCAAGTATTTTCCAGCCAACCTGACCTGTTTAACTATATATGGTGGACTAGATGTTGTTTGTGGACAGAAGCAGTTACATGGAAAAAGGAACTGGGATAGCAGGGTGTGTAAAAAGTAATCTTACAAGACCAGGTAGAGGCAATAGCCCTCTTGCTGGGGAGCTCAGCTCAAAAAGCTGAGCTGATTGCACTGACGAGGGCATTAGAAATGTTGGCAAGAAAAACTGAATGTGTACCCAGAGGACTTGAGTAGAACTGAGGGAAAGATTGAGAGAGGGCTCAAAGGATGAAAAGTGAATGATGATGGAATTGTTCTGGCTCTGAGACGTTAAAAGCTAGAAAGTAAATGCCAATAAAATGGTTCTGATCCTGTGAAAACTAGCCCCTGCTCTTGTTAAATGAGTCTATGAAATTTCCCACTACAGGAAAGAGGCCCTGGCTTGGTTCATTAGATCCTGGCTCTAGGGCACGATATTAAAAAAACAAAAATCATTCAGGATGTTAGCTCTAACTGTTTTACCTGCCTAGAGCAATCCAAAGACAGGCTGTCCTACACCAATATCAAAGTAAACGACCCCCTGAAAATTAACAGGTTGATTTCATGCAGATGCCCCCAAGCAGGGGAATTAAATATTTGCTGGGTTTGTTTTTAATAGACACCTTTTCTGGTTGGGTAGAGGTTTTCACTCACCAGAACTAAGAACTTCAGAAATAGTGAAAATCCTCTTGAAGGAGATTATCTCCAAGTTTGGACTTCCAAAAAAAGTGTCCAAAGTGACAACGGAGCAGCAAACACCTACAGATGAAATGAAGATTGTATTCAACATGGAGATTCAAGAAAATGAACCAAACTATAAAGAAACAAATGGTCAACTGTCAGGATATTGATCTCCATTGGGACCAGGTGTTGCATTAGCCCTGTTTCAAATTCAGGTAGCCCCCTTCTAGAAGTAGGCTTAAATTAAGCCCTTAAAAAATTCTATATAGTAAACCTTCCCAGGCAGCTTCCCTCAACCCTCTACCTGACCTCAGCCAAGATTTAAAGGTGCAGTGGTATGCACAACACCTCCAACACATACTTTCTATTATTCGTAAAATTGCTCTTCCCAGGTCTGCTTCCTTCCCTACAGGTAATTGGACCCCTTCCATCCTGGAGATCATGTTCTGCTCAAAATGTGGAGACATGGATCTGAAAACCAAATGGAAAAAAAATGGACTGGACCCTGGGAAGTCCTTCTAGTCACCCAGTCAGCTGTCAACTTAACCGGACTTAAAATTTGGACACACCGTCCCAGAATCAAACTTTACCCGTCAGTCGACATGACCACCTGAGCATCAGAAGCAACTGAAGAAATCCAACTAAAGAAGATGTCCCTTAAGGTAATGTATCTCCTGCTCTTTACAATGGGACTCTCTCAAGACATTATTCCTTTCAATGGGATGAAAACATTTGGGTATATTTAGCTCAGTGGTTACGAATCGGGCTGCGAACCACAAGGTCAGCAGTTTGAAACTACCAGCTGTTCCACCAGAGAAAGATGAGGCTTTCTGCTCCCAAAAAGATTTACAGCCTCAGAAACCCTGTACAGGGTCACTATGAGTCAGAACCAACTCCGGCACATCACAACAACACTATTTATCTCAGAGTGTAATAAATGTATCTGATATTTTTCTTTCAGGAAGCCATCCAGAAACATCTGTAAAAATGACTGAGGACTGGAACAAGAAATTATCCCAAGCCCAGGTGATCTGGTGTGGGTGAGGAACTGAAATTTGACCCCACTGAAACTCAAGTCCCCACTTGGATTCACCACAGCAGACTGAAGAAAGCCTTGTCTTCGTGGGAAGCTGAAACTGACCCTACCAAACCTTGCAAGGTAACATTGAGACGTAGGACCCGCCCTGCTTCAGTCACAAACCGGAAACTGGCTGATCTACGTATGGCTGAAGCATGAGGACATCTGCCGTGGGACTCATCTTAATTAGACTTTGGGGTGTGGGAAAAGGAAAAAAATCTGTATAATCTATACACCCACACCACCAAGGTGGACCAAAGAGTGACCACCACACTACTTTTCTGTAGTTGCTATAAATGTGAGGGCACCCTCCTAGCTAACTGAACCTATAACCAATGAAACTGGTAGAACCTTAACCCTCTTAGCTCAGCAACAAACTCAACTTAGAAATGCTGTTTATCAAAACCGACTAGTCCTAGACTATTTATTAGCTCAAAAAGGGTGTGTGTGTGGAAAATTTAACCTGACAAACTGTTACTTACAGATAGATGATCAAGGATAAACCGTTGAGGACATTGTGAAAAAGATAG